TATATATATATATATATATATATATGCTTTAGATCTAGTAATCCAATTGATCATATGAAGTAATATGTACACTAAAAGCCTTCTTACTGCCAAATTTGTGTTTTGGTGGCCACTTTGAATACATTATTAAATTTTGCATTTTCACTAAAAAATGTATGGTATTGTATTTCAATAATGTTTTATTGCATTCCTTGAACTAAAGAACTTGGTAATGTGGGCTTTTAGAGCTTTTAAACTGCCAAAATAATGTTTTTTGGGGTTCCATTTTGAATATTCCATTTTTTGGAGGGGAAGGGGTGGAGTGACATCATGGTTCACACAATTTTTGAAATCGGTATACTCAAAACCACCCCCTCCCCATTACAAAATTTCATGCTTTTTTCAGAAGTGCACGCCCAAGTCACATATCTGCCCCCACTATATTGTTTATGTTAATTTATATCTTTATATTGCTTTATGTTTTTTGTTGTATGTTAGCTAAATGTTTTACAATATGTTCTAAAAACATTTGTACCTAGGGCCCCAAGGGAGACCAGTCTACTTGACTCATTGGAAAAAACTTGGTTAAAGATTGTGAATAAATAAATAAATAAATAAATACAATTAGTATTTATTTTTAAAGTGGACAGCTGCGCAAAAAATATGATGATGTACTGTCGAGCTTTCCTGGTCACAGTGGCGATCGTCCCTGGCCGAAAAAAAAAGAAGAAGTTTTTCATCTATTAAACTACATTTATTAATTATTCAAATTTTTAAAAATAAGTACATATTGTCGCATAAAAGTAGGTGTAAATATGTGTTTCACTATCACACTATTCTGTATATTATTACTCTGTTGTAGTGTTGTTACAGTACAGTAGATCATGAAAGTTGTTCATTTACCATGTTAAAGCAGAATTTCTAGAGATACAATGCCATACAGCAGAGGTAAAATTCAGTTCTAGACCGCATATACAAGATGAAGGTATATAAAGTTATGTTTGTACAGTACTTGATTTTGTAATGTTATGCCGAAAAAAGCCAGGATGATTTTGACCAGGGCCAGTGGCGTGTATTTTACAGTGGCCCTGCGGCTACCTGGGTTTAGAGGTTAATTTTCAGCCCTGCAAGTATGAATGTCATGTACCTTAATTTTCCGTGTGTGCATCATAACGTGAGCGTACTCATGCATTACCTCTTTTAAATGCTCAAAATCATGCCTATTTTAAATAAGTTATATCTCCTTTGAATGAAAGGTGATCCCCAATATTTATTACACACATGAGTTGTAGATATGATTTTATAGCTCACTATGGCTGATCGCACATTGTGACATCATCATATTGCCTTCTGAATACAAAACAAGAGCGACCGCTCACATGGCCCCACCAGTGACGTAGAAAAGTATTTTTCATTGGAGGGGATGATTGGCGTGTTAAGCACCAACGTGTGCGCTTGTGCCGACAGGGGATGTGCCCCCTCTGAAGCTGGAAACCTTGTTTTTGCAAAATAAATTGGTGCAATTTGATGACTACTTTTTTGAAATTTTGATCAAAATGAAAAAAAGATTTACAATTAAAAATATGGCATATCTATATCTGTGAGATATACACAATGCTTGTTGAATGCCATGAGGGAGGTGATTGATGTGCAGCAAAAAGAGAAGTGGAAGAATAAATTAATATTTTATAGTATTTTATTGACATTCTTCATTTTTACACCTTTATAATAAACAGGCCTACATTCTCCCATGAACGATAAACCTCTTAGTCGGTGGCGTAATGATGGGACCGGGGGCCCTGTGTATTTCTGAAACTTGGGGCCGTTTTTGGGTCCTGCCATCAATTCTATCGTGGGATTTTAGGTGTGCATTGTTATTTTTAATTTTTTTAACGACGAATAAATGATATAATATGCATCCAGAAGGAGAGGCTAGGGAGAGACTTTCACAGTTGGAGATTCTATACCACCTCAGACCCACCAAGCAGGTGCATAACAGGGGGGGGGGGGCAAAGGTAATAATTTTTAGGTAAAAAGATCTATCTTAAATGTTTTTTCTAATTGAGTTGGGATTGTTCAATTACCTTAGAAGGGAAAGAAGGACAAGCACAAATTCTCACCCTCAAAAATGCAAGCGAAGCACGCACATTTTTTTTTTTTTGCGTTTAGGGCAAATGTTATATACTGTATGGCCACACATATTTTTTTGATACTGGATAAAAGCATTTTCGTTATGGCTTTATTTATTACAAACATATTCTTTCACCATCATTACACATTGAAGTCCTTCTTTTAGGTAAAACGATCTACACCTATTTTAAATTTTCTTTCTTGGGTCTGGGACTATTATGTGTTTAAATAACTTAGGCTAACCCTATAAAGCCCAGAAAAATGCACGCAAAAAATTTGTGTTTTTAATTCTAATTTCATCGGAATTGATCAAAACTTGACTTGTGGATGTTGGCCAACGTTTTTTTTATGCGGTTGATGTCTAAGTACTAATAATGTTAAGGTCTTCGGAGAAATCATTATTATTATTATTATTATTATTATTATTATTATTATTATTATTATTATTATTATTATTATTAAAAGCATTGTACAATAAATATAGAAATTGAGTCAAGTGATGATGAAGAAACAACAGATGGTATGGCACCTTCACCTGGAGATGTGTCATCATCTGAGGAAAAGGTCCTTGAAGAGCAAACAGTAGTAGAGAATGATGTACCAGTAGTTAGAGAAGATGATACTGAAGAAGAATTCGAAGACATAATTGAGGTGGCACATGACCTACAAAATTTAGAGCCTCAAGCAAGAATACAATGCAAGTGTAACTGCACACTTTTCAATGGACACAGATGCATTAACCAGTTTTCTCCTGCACAGCAAGATGAAATAAGGTGAATGATCCATTAAAGGGGCAAGTGCTACAATGTTAAGTACTTTAGTTCCCCATGTAGTTCTATTACAATCATTTCTTTTCATTCCATCTGTGATGATTTGATCAATTTTTATTTTATTATAGAATCATACACTATATAGAATTTATTATGATTTACTTGAATAATTTTAGATACACAGTGAAAGAATTGACAGAATTTGAAAAAGACCTTATGATTCTCAGAATGATATCGTCATCAATTAACGATGGGGATATGACAGCCAGAAAGAAGAAAGTTCAAACACCACGAAAGTAGACCAGGATGCGCTGCTTCAGCTATGGGCATAAGCGCATTTGCCGGTTCACTTTTTTTTTCTAATGGGAATTAGCCTCTTGAGTCATGCGAGCCAATGCGCGAGTCATGCGAGCCAGCGAGCCATGTGAGCCATACATTTAAATCTTTTTTTTTTCAGGTTATCCAGTTTAGCAAACACGTAGGCCTAACCTATATCCTTTGACCTAGTAGATGCAAATGAATAACAAACCGGGGAGCTTTGCCCTGTGTAGTCCAGTCATGTGCACTGTACATACACTTTTGGACTTGGTTACTTTTTCGAATCGTCGATCCGAAAGTATGCAGCGCTGATAGATGTTGTTAAAATACAGATATACAGATACATACATACAGATATATTTATATATATATATATATATACTGTATTTATTTATATATTTATTTATTTATATATATATATAGGCCTATATATATTATTTTATACAGTATATACTGTATTTATTTATATATTTATTTATATATTTTTATATTTATTTGTATATATATATATATATTTATTTGTATAATCATTTATATATATATATATATTTATATATATATATTTATTTATATATTTATTTTTATATACTTATTTGTATATATATATATATATATACTGTATTATTATTTTATATATACTGTAATTATTTATATATTTGTTTATATATTTGTTTGTATATTTATTTGTATATATATATATATATATATTTATAAAATTATTTACATTTTTTCAAATGTATTGTTTGTATATTTATTTGTATATTTATATATATATTTATATATATATTTATATATATATTTATACGTTCGTATATTTATATACATATTTATTTGTATATTTATTTATATATATTAATATGTTCATTTATTTTTTATATATTTATATATATATATATATATATAAATATTAATATATTTATTAATATATAAATAAATATAAATACCTAAATACATATAAATAAATATACAAATAAATATATAAATATATATATATACAAATAAATATATAAAAATAAATATATTAATATATATATTAATAGTTATATATATATATAAATATTTATATATGTATAAATATATATATATGTATAAATATATATATATATAAATATATTAAAAAATATATGAACTTATTAATATATATATATATATAAATATACAAATAAATAAATATATATATGTAAATATATAAATAAATATATGAACATAATAATATATATAAATATATAAATATACAAACAATATATAAAAACAAATTATATAAATATATAAACATTTAAATATATATAAATACATTATACAAATAAATATACTAATATATAAATAAATATACAAATAAATATACAAACAAATA